CCTGACAGCCATTGTCCGGCTTGATAATGAAGGTCTGCTTCTTCGCGGCTGCAAACCTCGCGTGTGCGACAGAGCAGAAGACGGGGCGGACACAGCCTTTTAGGGTGGATCACCGCGTCCGAAGGCCCGGATGGGGGGGTGGCCATCGGGGACCTTTATTCGTAATTTGTTGTTTGAGGGCGGGTGGGTCACCATCATTGTGTTCGTGAGATGTAGGGCTGCTGAGGAGCCTTGCCGGGAGAGGGGGGGGGGGGGGGNNGGGAGAACGCTTACTTTTACTCGTGCTTTGTGAAGGGGCAGCAGCACTACTATCATTACTATGATTTTGATTATGATTATCTTTATTTCAATTACTACTGCCATTTGTATTTCTGTTATTCTTATTGATTACTGTTAGCATGCTGATTCTTATTATTTGAGAGGAGGCCAAATACTACTGCTAACAATGATGATAATGACTTGGTTTCCCGTTTCCAGTATTGCTAGTTGCTAGACGGGACCTGCCTGCCCATTCGGCCATTCCATTAGTGTGTAGCCATTTGTGGGCCGTGGCTGCGGCGGCATTATCATAATAATAACAAAAATAATACTAGCAATAATGAACTGGTCTCCTATCTCACTATGATGATTTCTGAGGCTGGGTGGCCTGGCTGGCGCGTGGTGGAGAGGCGAGGGGGGCGGGGGGTGGGGGTGGGGCATTATTGCTGTTGGAGAGGGTGCAAACATGATTGTACCCCGGGGGGGGGGGCCGGGGCTGCATTACACTTTGTCAAGTATTAGTATTAATACTGGAATTAGTATGAGTTTCGTATTAGTTCTAGTCTTGGTATTAGTATATTAGTATACAACCTGATAGTATGTCTTCTTCTGCTTCTTCTTCTTCTTGTCATTCTTCTCCTCCTTTTTCGTATCTTATTTGAGAAAAGGGACTACATAGTAACAAAACTGAACTAGTTTGCCCTTCAATTTCGTACATTTTTTTGGGGCTGGCCGCAGGCGGTGGGGCATTAGTATTTGAAGGGTGCCGAACCATAGTAACAACAATGATAATACCACTATATAATGCTGGAAGGGTTCTCATTCGAACATTTTTAATGTTTGGGAAGGGGAACCGGATGGGGGGAGCCATGGCTGTGGGGAAGTTAACAACGAAATGGCTTGCTGCTCCATGTTTATTACTATCATTACTACTACTATTGTTTGGCGGGGGGAGCCTGGCTGCGTGGCGGCAGCAGGGGAGGCCACATTGTTATATTGGACAGGAGGCCAATAAATAAGGATGATAAATGGGAAGCGAAGGGGGGCTAGGTGGAGGGGCTGCTTCTGGTACTGCTACTTCTACTGCTGCTGCTGCTGCTACTACTACTACTACTACCACCACTACAACTACTTCTACCACTACAACTACAACTATTACTACTACCACTACTACTACCACTACTACTACCACCTCTACCACTACCGCTACCAATAACAATAAAAATAACGACAATAAAGATATTGCTAACCATGTTAATGGTACTAGTAATGAAACGGTGTGCCATTCACTTATTACTACCGTCTCTTTTCATTGTAAACTACTCTCAAACAGGAAATGTGAAGTGATCCCCCGCTCCATTGCTAATATTTCTGACTCATATTGTCTAAGCAGGAAAGAAGACTACGTCGTACGTTAGTTCTCACTGGCAATACAAGGTTGATCAACTCAGTCGTTGATGCATTTGCAGAATGCTTCCGAGATCTCCTAGAGTCGAACACCATGCGGTGTTGGTCTGACTAGATGCTTACCTACAACTCCCGCGGCAGGCCGCTGTTGCTTGAAGTCTGACATATCGGTCGGCAAGATCCACGTGTCTGGGAAGAATCGGTATTCCTGCCACAGGTCGCACATGATGGCCATGGGTCAACTGCGATTCGCACTTGCCTTCGGAAACTGCTTTCGCATCCGCAGCAAGTTGCGACCTTGCGATGCGAGGGATAATACTGAAGACATTCACACTGATGATCACTTTCAGGATCATCTTGCCGATACCGATCGCGTGGAATACCGATCGTGTGGAATGATACTGACGATGAAAAAGATGAAGAAGATGATGATCATGAGTCATGAGCCGTGATAGCGCTGACGATAATAATGGTGCCTGACAAGACTGGTGAGGCTCATCCCTGTCGAGGCACAGCATGCACCGTGCACTGCAGGCACAGCATCATTGGACACCCACTCTCCTTTCATACTGTGCTACTGAGGGTGCTGGAGACCGTAACGGTGCTGAGTGTGATACACCAAAGGTGATAATGTTAGCTGCACTGATTGGCATGAGAAGGATGATGGCAGCCGTGGGCATCAAGAGCATTCTGACGGAAGCATTCTGACGGAATAGCCCGCAGGAGGACAATCGCGACGACTCGTGAAACAGGCAAGACATGAAAAGACATTTGCGGTTAACCTGATCACAACTACCGCTCATGACATCAGCGGCAGGATCATGATTGTTGGTGCTTCTGTTACACATTCGACCTATGATTCCGGCTTGTGGGTTTTGTGCATGCTCAATGCGCGCTTAGTGGCATCACGGTCGGTCTCGTCCAAAAAGCTCTGATTGCCACTGGCAACGCACGGGACAACGGGGCACTGCTTCTTCCAGCGATGATTCCATTGAAGCGAGGTAAACACTGCCAACCCTCCGAACCTGAAACCCTTGAAACCCCATAAACCCCACACCCTTACACCACCACACTCTAAAGGCCTCGAGTCGTCAGTGCTCCAAAGCCCGAATCTCACAAATACAAAATAGACGCAGATACAGGCGCAGGGTTGATCTCACATCCGTCGGCGAGAATACACATCACCCCAGTGTGGACGCTGTTTTGAGGAAGTACACATCAGCGGCGAGAATACACATCATCAGGTGCTGATCCCCATGTAGACGCTGTTTTTGGTCTCCAAGTCGCGCAGGCCAAATTTTCAGAATATGCCGCGGACGCTGAGGTTTCAAGTACTTTTCACTGCATTCTAGATCATATTTTGGCACAACACAAGCGCACGCACAAGACACACATCAGTGGCATCACAGCGCTCCCAAACCAGCAATTGCCCATATAGGTGTGGCTCTGTCTCTATGTCCTGTGTATGTGTGTCTGTGCATGTGCGTGTACCTAACGCCAAATTGCCAAACAGTGTGACCGAGACTGGTTTGGATGAGCTGGACCTATTTTCCACAGGGCCATGTGATTAGCTCCGAAATGGACAAGCACCCGTTCGAGACACACATCCATGTAATCAAATACATCATCACCAGACACTGGTTCCACAAGTACCCATTCGAAACACAAGTGGCATCACGGCACATCGAAACCACCCATTCCCCATCTAGACGCTCGATTCCACAAGCGCCCACTCGAGACGCACATCAGTGGCATGACAGCACGTCCTAAACCAGCCATTCCCCATCTAGACACTCGATTCCACGTGGAAGCATCGGATCGTTCACAAATAGAAGTGATTGTTTGAAAGCGGTTTCCCGAGTGTGGACGCTCATCGATGCGTATTTCAACCCAGCGATGCGAGATAAAGCGACCCCCCTGTAGAACAGCAAAAACCGAGAGACACAACAAGCTGAAACCCTGCGAACCGCAAACACTAGATACATACCGTGGCTAGCCCTAGACCCTCTCGAATCGCTCGTGCTTGAAACGAAAGTTCTGGAATTCCCTGTTGTGCTGCAATTGCCAGCACTTGGCTCTGGCCTGTTCTCGAAAGGCGCGAACTGGGATCGCTCGGGGGTGAAGAGCTCGTGATTGAAACGCCAAGGTGTTGTGCTGGAGTTGGCAGCGCTCGCACCGGGATTGCGCTCCAATCACGCATGTTTGCATCGCGACAGGGGGAGGCTGGAAAAGGTTCAAGGATTCAAGACACGACTGTCCAAGACTGCACGGCAGGCCAAATCGCGACGGCCGAGATCCACTCCCAGATTGTTTTTGCGGGTGATGGAGCTCATCCCCACCTGCCGGGAGCACAGACTTCTCCAATTGACAGTAGTGCTTGTGGACTCTGGCTTGGCAAACTGAAGCTGTTGCAGCCGGGCTCCACACGAAGTGATTCATCTTCTGGTATGTCTTGAGCTTCATGAACCTGTCTGCTGGGACGGCCTGCACTTGCAAGGATTGCCTGCATGGCTTGTGTTTACAGTCCTGGTTGGCATTGAATGCACACTCCAACCCATGACCGATTGAGTCTGTTGTGCATGCCCACACTCAGGTATGAGTATGAAACTGTCACAATGGCAATGCACTAGATGTGCTTCCGAGAAGCCCAGGCGGCCACAACAGCTCAGCACTTTTGTTCCATGGCTTCGAACGCTTCACCAGTAGACGTAGGGGGACCTTCGGCCCATACGGCATCGCATGTACACACTGCAGAGCGCCTGCAGTCTCACTTGTCTGATGCATGGATGTGCACATGATTTCCACACATCCCGAAAAAGGAACATGCATCAGACATCTTTAGCTCTCGCAATTCCTTTAAATTTTGGCTTGCGATCGCTCCACTGATTCACCACTTCATTCTCCGTTAGCACAAAACATCCCTCCTGTAAAACCCGATACAAGAGACTCAACGGGGCCCCTAGCTTAGTCAGTCCATCAACGATCATCTGCTTGGTGGCAACCCATCGCACTGAGATGTTGTGACTCATCACGTCATTCTTCACGAGTAACATCTCAATGGCCATCCTCTTGTCTTTCAAGCTGATTGTGCTACTCCGGATGTGGTCATAGACAGGCTTACAGTCCACGACAGAAGTGATTGGAATCCTCTGTGCCCACTGCTTGTCTTGCTGGAGACAGTAAGACTCATTGAGAGCCTCGTTCCATATTGACCTTACCCATTGAGCTTCTGCCAAAGCCCGGGATAAAGCCAATAATTCTGCTCCCAGCGTTGAGTGAGCTTGGCGATCTTGTTTATAACTTCTCCACCGCAACAAGGAAAAACCACCCCACTGTCCATCTGCCAGGGGCTTGTCACAAGCTGCGATCATGTATCCAGCTTGGCTGCACCGATTGTCGGCATTTGCCCATGAAGCATCTGACAGCACTACAAACTGCACTGCCTCCGCTGGAATTGGCAGGATGCGAACCTGCGTCGTTGCATGCTCACGAGCTTGACTGATGAGCTTGTTGGCCTCAATCAAGTCCGCCACCTTTGCCTTTGTCACTCTTTGTTGCAGGAGGGAATTCCATGCTGCTAGATCCGGCCTGCTTCCTACGGAGAGCCAGTTCACAGCTCCAAGGACTGCGCGCAACTGTTGTCTCTCAGCTTCACTCACATCCTCTTCTTTCTGTCTCCGTCTCTCCATGCTTATGCTAATGCCCTTCAGTTCCGCGGCATACTGCATCTGGCACACCGTGATTTCACCAGACGGCTCTTGTTTCAAGGTTTTCCCCAGAAACTCACCGCCCCCAGTTTTCCAGTGTTTGAACGGATACATGCTACGCAATTTGGCCACCACGTGTGCCTCAAAATCTTGATTCCCGCCCAAACACATGTCGTCAACATGAAGTGCTATGGCTCCAGACAGTTTCCCATGACTGTGGTACCAAAACACGCACGGATCGAAACTTGACACCTTTAGTCCAAGACTCTTCAACGAATTACTGAACGACTTCCACCATTCTTTCGGAGCGTCTGCCAGTCCGTACACCGTCTTCAAGGCTTCGATGACGCACTCGTCACCATCATACCCTGGCACTCCACCTGGTGGCATCTCGATGAATAGCCTGCCTCTCTGCTCACTCAGCTTTTCACCACGCAGAAAGGCGCCCTCAACATCCGCAATCTGTAAACGCCACTTGTGACTTGCCAAGACTTGTGCAACCACAGCAAAACCTTCTGCTGACAACGTTGGCGCATCTGTATCCAGACTCAGCAAGCTAGGGTCCAGATATCCTCTTATGCACCATCTAGCCTTCAAGTCCATGGTTTCAGCAGACTTCCCAGGCTCCGACTCAGTCACAACGAATCGTGATTTCATGAATTTCGCCCCCTTTCCACCTGCCGTCCCATACTGTTCACGAATCTTTCTTGCGGCCTCACCTCGGTGAACCCGAATTGCTCCACTCTCGAGAAGTTTGGCCCACTCCTTAGCTTTCGCCCTGTCCAGACCAGCTTGCCTCTCCTTTGGCACCATGCTCATGGCAATCTCCTTCCTTCCTTTGGTCCTTTCAACCATCAAGCAATCGTCGCGACCAACTCTCACTTCAAGCTCTTCGTCACTGTCCACAGGCACTGGAACTTCATCGGCCCTGGGTTCAGCTGCCGACGACTGACCAGGACCCACGGTCCTAAGCCCATCAAGCCTCATCGGATCTTCACGCAACACTTGTGTCAACTGAGTCGGCTCCAGCTGGGACCTCAATCGTTTGCTCGGCGATTCATCACCGGCATCATGCATTGGTCTGTCCCCTCGAGCAGGATTGACTCGGTCACCTTCTGGCAACGCATTTGCGACACCCTCGACTCCGACGCCACTTGAGTCCTCCATGGGCTGCTCAGCCTCAACGGTTGGTTCCTCTGCGCCATCAAGATCCACCACATCACGCTGCTCCGATGCTGGTGCTGTCGCCGGTGCTGCACTTGCCTCTGGCTCTTCTTGTCCATCCTCGGGCTTATCTAAGTCCGAGATATCATGAAACGTTCCCGCACCTCTTGCGCTGACCTCTGTTCTTACATAAACAGTATCTGCAGGAAGAAGACGTATGATTGACTCCTGATCAGGAGTGAGTCTCCTGAGCTGCTCAGGACAGCACCGGTACACCTTGGTGCCTTGAGCAATCCAAACCTTCGAGTGGCCTTGAGAGCCCAACACAACAGCAGGACCATGCCAATGATGTTTGTTCTCATATCTATGTTTTCTCCAAAAGTACACAAGCATGCCAGCATTGAAAGGTCCACGCTCAGGTCGTGTTCGATGCGCAAGCGCCGCACGAAGTCTTACATCGCTGTCGGCTTCAAGAAATGCCTTCCTTGCCGAATTTCGAAACGCCATCCTGCGCTCAAACACAGACTCACCTTGCACCAATCCTGAATTGATAACTGGATCATAGTCTGTCGTTACCAGCCCCGGCACACGCAACTCTCGGCCAAACACATGCTGACATGGAGAGTAACCATCTTTTCGCGACATGGTGTTCACCGCAACATTCACATTGTCAACAAGCTCCTGCACCTCTTGCTTAGAGCGCGGTGGGGTGTCAAGTTGGGCTTTTCTGAAAGCCTGCTTCCATACTCCACCTTTACGCTCAGTAAGGCCATTTTGCCACGGCGCATACGCAGCTGCCTTGTCACCATATGTACCATCCAACATCAAGCCATGCTCAAACTCAGCTTCAAACTCCGGCCCTCCATCAGTGAAGACGCTGATTGGTGGGCCCGCCCATCGCTTCCAGGCCTTCCTATACGCATTACGCACATGCTTGGCCTGCTTTCCTTTCCACAGCGGCACGCACAACTGATACGTGGTTCCCTCATCACAAATGTTCAAAAAGGGCATCTTGTACCCTCTGACCTCCAACTCAAAAGTGTCCAAACACAACTGTTGATTGAACTCCGTAGCCCTCCTGACCTTGGTCACGCGATGACTCCTTGGCTGAAGCACGGCGTTGCATGACTCACACGTCAGCCCTCTCGCAAGTTTGAGCACTCTCTCACTCGCATGCGCAGCTTTAAGCAACATACCCATTCTAGCTGGGGACGGATGACCAAGATTCTCATGACACTTCCTCAACAACACCATGATCTGACTGTCGCTCAACCCTTCACCAGACCGCAAATCTTCCACAGCAAACACACATGTGGACGTGAGCACCTGTTCCTTGTTGCGCTTCCAGTCCAGCACACTCGCAACACACAGGTTCTCGGCAACACTTGACTGTTTCTCTCGATCCCTCTCTCCTATCTTTCTTCTCTCCGCTCTCTCTCTCACCTCTCTGCAGTTCGTGATCCACCTGGTCTGAGTACCTTCGACAGTAACAACGGACACACCTTCTCTCTTCAACACATTGGCATGCTTCCTGTTCTCATGTCCTACTTCGATCATGAACAATCGCCCTGCACTGTCCTGGCACACAGCAAGCATGTTCACAAACTGCGCATAACTGTTGCAATATTCCGGCTCATGCTGCTTGCTACCTTCCATCATGTGTCTCAGATCAGGCGGCATGCTCACAAACAACATGCGCGGCTTCATGTCTCGTAAAACTTGGCTCACATGTCTTTTCATCTGGTCGCCGAAGAATCTTTGGTGGCGTTCAAACCTCTGCGAAAACTTGAGAACATGAGTGGCACTGAGTCCCACAGCTACTGCATTGCTGCCTGCCTTGCTCCTAAACAACTCCAGAAGATCACACCTGCTCTCCGAAACACCCGAAACCGGACTGAACCTCCCATCGGAACCCTTGCCTATCACATCCAGGCCAGCTCTGCAAAGCTGCTTCTCAGCCTTGTTCATTGTCTTTGTGGAAAGCTCCGACCCTGATCGGTTCATAACTTCAGATGTTCTGGCTCTCACAGATCCTCCTCGCTGTCCAGGCTTTGCAGCTGCATCTGTAGCAACTCCAACTGGTGCATAATCTTCTCCTTCATCTTGTTCTTGGTGGCTTTGGCTTCGGCTTTCTTGACCTCCTCCGGCGGAAGGTCGATCTTCTCCCAGCGATCGCAACCAGCGCTCGAACTGGCTGCTTGCTTCTTGGGACTTTTGGTCTTGCCCTTCAGCTCGTTGGGGTCGATGTACGGGTGGTTGAGGTCCTCGATCTTTGGCACCTGGGTCTCCAACTTCACCCTGTTCTCCTTGATCTTGTCCCGGCAAGCTATGTACAGCCGGAACTTCATCATCTGGCTGGTGCTTGACTGCCCCTTGTTGTTCGGCTTCGACGTCGTCACGAATTTCCTGACCCACTGAATGTAGGACTTGTCGCTCACGTAGATCTCGGCATAGGTGCGCACCAGCCCCGCCTTCTGGTACTTGCCGATCGTCATGATTTCGGCACCGCTGATTGGCACGCCTGGCTCGTCTTCGTCTCGATCTTCGCGACTGTCCAGTGTCTTCACCGGAAGTGTGGTGCCCTCCTCGCTGGTGATCTCCGGACGTAGAGCTTCGGCCAGCTCCCGCATCAACGGCGAGATTGAGATGTCCGTCCTCCATGGTACACCCTCCTCGGTGCTGGTCACCATCATCTCCGTGTCGGGCTCCATCTCGAACGCCATTGCCGTCCGCGAGGATTGCCGGGGTCGCTACAGAAGCGTCAGAGTTCCTGGTATCCGCGATGGCTGCATGTGTGGACACATGGACCTCTGCCTCCTTCTCCGGACCTGCCTTCACTGTGGCTCGCACCCTTGTCTTTAAACCCAAAATGGGTATCCCGTAATGCCCCCGTTCAGTCTCTTTAAGCTTAACCGTAACCCCAAGCTTACCAACATACATCACATCCTTACCCATATCCAGACGAGCCCCCATCTCTCTAAGACATTCTTTGGATAACAGAAGTGGTGTATCAGCCCCCGTATCAGGAAGCACTGCGGCCTTCAGCACAACGAGCTTCCCTCCTATACAAGCAGGAATCACTACCGCTCTTGATGTCTGCAGCTTCCCTGCATTCCCAAACTTGAACTCATGCTTCTCAGACATATACCTGACACGTAAACCCCGCTTCGCAAGCTCACGAGCCATACTCTCCAGAACCCTCTCACCAATGAGAGTCCTACGGCACGCAGTGTCAGGTACAGCATGAGAGGCTAAGTCAGCATACTCTTCACTGCTACTCTGCGTCACGAACACATCACCGCAGCACGCTATGTATGCCTCCTCTTCGTTCGCAGCGTTCTCCGCGCTGTCACAAAAACTCGGAAAAGTGAGCCCTTGCGATTCAAGGCCCCCCAAAGCGTCTACGATATCTGCTACCTCGGCTTCGTTCTGGTCCGCGACAACGATGTCCACTGCACCATCTCGGCCCTCGACTAAAAACACGTCAAGATCCTCTATCTGACTCTGCGGAATAAACCATCCATGCCCTTGATTCCCATTCTCGTCAGTGTCAGCGATCATCGCATCCTTCGATGACCCAGACCTGGCACTCGTAGATCCGGTTCCTTTGTCGCGTCGTTGCGGGCACTCTTTCTTCCAATGCCCCGTCTGTCGGCAGATATGGCACTTCGTCTTCTGCTTGAGCTGGTCGATTCGCCCTCTCACTGTCCCAGAAAGACTCCAGGTCGAAGTGGAGGACGGCGCACGGTATCCTCGTCCTGTCTTCTTTTGCTGAACTCGTCGTCTGATGTCTCGGTAGGTCTCCAGAACATCCAAAGCGTCTTCCTCGTCGTACTGCTCCTGGCTCTGGATCTGGTCCGCCACCACTTGAAAGACTTCGAGTTCCTCGGCGTGACTGTCCGGCTCCTCTGTCTCATCCTGAACGTCACCTTCAGTCTCTGCAGAGTACACATCTTTCAGCTTGTTTGCCAGCGTGGTACACTTCCCCTGAGGAAAGATCGCCTTGACAGCTTTATTGATGGCCTCATACTTGAGACTCCCTCCAGTAGACGTCAGGACCATGGCCTCTGAACTCTTGTCCAAGGCCAACTTGCGCAGCAGGAACCAGCCTCGTACTTCTTCAGGTAACGTAACTTTCACCTCTTGCAGATTCCTATAGGCAGTCTCCACCCGGATTGTTAGGTTCCGGTAGCTCTCACCCGCCTTGATCTGCGTCTTGAAGAAATACTCATTGAGGTACTTCTGCATCGCGTCTTGCTCGAGGTCGGCATAACGAGCATCCAACGTCTCAAAGATCCGAACATAGCCCTCCTCGGACGTGATCTTGGACACAGGAATGCCCTCACACACCTCCTCAGCTTCTCCGTGCAAAAACTCGCAAAGCTTCGCTCCCCACTTTTCCTTCGCTATTGTCGACGGCAACGCCAACAACATGAGCTCCGCCTTGCGCCTCCATCTCTTGTAACTTGCAGGATCTGACCCGTCAAACCGTTCCAGCCTTGGCCGCTCCTCTCCATCTCGGTTGCCAGCACTCATAGCCTATTCCACAGCAGAGTAAGCTTCAGCGCCACCAGGGTCCACACAAATGTGAACACCTTCCAGCGCTCCGCTACCACCTGTGCTTCCGAGAAGCCCAGGCGGCCACAACAGCTCAGCACTTTTGTTCCATGGCTTCGAACGCTTCACCAGTAGACGTAGGGGGACCTTCGGCCCATACGGCATCGCATGTACACACTGCAGAGCGCCTGCAGTCTCACTTGTCTGATGCATGGATGTGCACATGATTTCCACACTAGATACTTTTGTAGATTTGTTGAAAGGAGTCGAACATCTCCGTCGCTCTTCGGCGTGAAACTGCGGTGCTACCTCAACTCCGGGCAGCACCTTCGTTCATCCAAACCCCCATCCCAAAGCAGACATGTGGAATTGCTGTAAATTCAAACGGGACATCACGTGATTTGCACGTGGATGCAATCATCGACAGACCCACTGGCTTGCAGACTGCATTTCAGGAGACCTCTGCCGGCAGTGCACATGCTGACGAGGCACGCAATCACACCAGAAAAGGTCGAAGTCGGCATTCGCAGAAGAAGCTTCTTTCCAGTTCTCAAACTCTGCACAGACCTGTGGGGAGCTTCAGTGCAGGCAACCGAGAACACGTCGCCCCAGAGCAAGATTTCGTGGCACCTCTGGCAGGATCTCGTACTTGCTCTCGAGCCATACGAGGATCCTGAAGCACAAGAAGCAAGATGGGGCCTACTACCATGCACTACCAGTAGCAGACTAGCACCAGCTGCCACTAGCTGACTACGGGTAGCTTTACTGCAAGGGTCTTCTTTGCTCGATCTGCGGCTCTCTTCCGCCGACCTCGAGAGACGGCGGTCTCTGCGCACATCTGCGCACGATTCACACTCCGAGCTCAAGCTTAGGCTTCTGCGGCCCGCGGCAGATGCTGCCGGTGCTTCGTCACCAGCGGGACGCACCTGTCTTGAGAATGTCGCGTTCCTTGTCGCAATTAAGCTTAAGCTTTGACCAGTTGCAGAAAGCAGCTCTGCCAATGCAGAGCAGTGCGGCCTCTCGCGGTTTTGCAGCAGATTTCGCGAGTGCAATGGCCGAGGACCACTCGGGCCTGACCACGTAAAAGCATGTGACATTCTGCAGGTTCTTCAGGACGACCGCTGGATGCTGTTGCAAACTGCAAACACGGCACAGTTCTATGCAGCTGGAAGGTCTCAGAAACTGGCGGCACGATCCTACGATCACCAGGATAGTCCTGCCATGCTTACGATCGAAACACAAGCTGCGGAACCAGAGCAGCATGAGATCTTCGTTCCTCGTCTTCGCCCCGGACGTCTGGGGTGAAGAGCTGTTCTTCGCTGAAAACATTCTCGTGCACGTCGCCGGCCTCGGGCAAGCATGAGCATGAGCACAGTATAGCACAGCCCTGGTAGGCGCAGCGGCGGGTCTCTCTTGGGGGGACAACCACGAGCCCAAGCTGGGCGTGTGGCCATCGCTCGAGCGAGCGTTTGATCTAGAGGTCCTCTCGCTGAACAGGCCGCGAAGGAGCCGATCACCCAGCAAGCACTCTGGCAGGTCCTCGCACCTCACGAGGAGACCTGGACGCTTGCAGAGGGCCTCGGAAGACGGCCAGGAAGACGGCCAGGCTCTGCACTTGTCCGCTGAGCCGAGCTGAGCTGCGCTGAGGCCTCGACCTCTGCGCCATTCGACCCGTCATCGACACGGAGTCTTGAGCGGAGCATCCTGTTTCAGAGGATCCTCCATTCAGGACAGTGTTGCGTGCGTTCTGCGTGGCTGTTTGCATGCTTGGGCTGGGGTGTCAGGGGCTAGGGGTTAGGGGTAGTGTATCTTTGCGAGATCACCTCTGGCTGCCGGCTGTCAGTCTCTTGCTTGAGCCACAGGTAGTTTCCCCTACTTTTGTTGACCCTCCTAGTGCGATGGAGGGGTGACCTCGAAGCTGGAGCTTGTGGCATTTTTGGCGCACCAGAAGGTATCGTACGCGCTCCATACAGTGAAGAATTGCGCACTGCTTTGGATGCTGTGTTGTAGAAAGCTCTAGAAGCGAAACTGGTGAGGGTGTTGTCGATGCCACATGGCAGCAAATCCCACGTCGGACGTCGGGTGAAGCCTTTCAGGGAAACCCTTGGCGCACTTGAGCACGACCCTGGGACTGGATCTGGTCACAACTCAATGATACGGAGAAGGATCCACACAGTAACCAGCTCAACCTTTCTTTTCGCGGCTCTCGTAGGGGGTTGTCGGGCAGGTCTCCGTGAAACTCTCGCACACCAAGACGTTGATGTGCAGACCTGCTTGGCAGAAAGCCGAGTTCAGCTCCGTCGTCTTGCTCCGATGCACCGCTGTATGGCCATCTTCGACGGGGCAGCCTCAAATGAACTTCTTCTGCTCACCTGTTGAGCTGAACCTGACAGCTTGGAATTCCAGGCATGAGGCGAAAGCCCCGAGGCATCTACAATGAGATGGCTGGGCCGATGGCTTTTGGTCCAGAGTCAGGCCATCCCCGACAGCAGAGGCAATCGCCTCACTGCACTTACATGAAGCAACAGCTCAGACACGCATGTGGCACAGCCATGCGGTGCACCCATTGCCCTCCACACCTTCTGGCGCTTCTCCAGAAGCTCCCGCAACTCGCCGACCAGCGTCGACTCCCGGTTTGCCTTCTCCTCGAAATTGTACCTTTGAGGAATCACCAGGTAGCATCCTGATTCACTGTCAATGCATACCTACATACCGTGTCGCGCACATGGCAAGCGCGCGCTTCTCCTCGGCAGAGTAAACCTGGTTCTCCTGCAAAAGGCGGGCTCGAAAATGCAAAGACTCTCTGTGATGTCTGTGTGTGTCTGCGTGTGCATGTCGCTTGGGTCGTGCATGTGTACTCGTGTGAGTGATCGCGCGTGCGCTTGCGTCGTGCTCGTGCATGCACAAACATGTGCGTGCGAACGTGCATGCCTGCCTGCAGAACAGTGCTTGAAAGGAAGCTGCGATACTGAATCGGACTGTGCACACACCGTCTCATCAACCTTCTTTGCCTGTGTGCAACTTTGCTGCTGTCCTTTCGGATACGCACGGCATTCATTCGCCGGTGCCTGGATCCGCTCATGACCTCGAACGCCCCAGCTGCTTCTTTTTCCGTTTACTACAACGTGAATGCAGATCGGGGAGCAGGCATAACCCAGGTCTTCGAGGTTCTCAATCTGGTCGGCTGTGATGCCCACCTCTCCTCGACGAGGGATTCGCATGCCGCTCTTCACGTACCTGTCCGCAGTTTCGGTGCAGACCAAAGCCAGAAATGTCAGTCACGTCCGGAGGCCGCACTCGGCCATGGCATCTCCCTCTCCCGGGAGCAGGTAGCCTGCAGCGAATGGGCGAATGCTCTTTGCATACTGGCGAGCAGAGTCTCTCCTTTGGTGCCGAGATCGCCTGCCTCCGTAGGAGCCCTTGCTCTGAGACATGTTGTTGAGGAGCTCCTTCAAAAAGGGAAGGAATTGGATCCGGGCACACACAAAACGAGCGTCCCAGCCTGCTGTGTCGCTGGCATGGGCCCGAAGCCTTCATCCTCCAGCAGGGACATCGTTGTGGACGAGTTAGATCTTAAGAGCGGCACGAGTCCTCGGAGTCGTAGTTGTAGCCTGCTTGAACTCTTCTTGAGCATACTGTTAGAGAACGTACTGCAACCCCACATGCTGCACAGCCAGGAATGGCATCTTGCGATAACTGCAACTGTCGAAAGTCTACGGCAACTTTGATGTTTCGGCCTGCAGCATACTTGGAATCGCCAGCAGTGCTGGGACGAATTTCCACCCACTCTACCTGCAACGCAAATTGAACACGACTCGATCGTCTGATCGTTCTGAAGTCGAAGCCACCATAGTACGCACCTGCTCCTCCATGACAGTTTCTCCGGAGCTGCTATCACCATCCTCAGAGAGCACGCGCTGGTCCGGAAAAGCGCCGCTCGCAGAAGCAAGACTGTCTAACAGAATCCTCCTCGCTAGAAGGTGAAGACGATGACGAAGACTCTTTCTTCTTCTTTTTCTTCTCCTGTGCTGCTGGTGATCAGGAATATCTAAGAATCCTGGGCATTGCATGGCGGACGTGCTCTGGCTGCCGCTTGTTGGCAACTTGTTAGAGTGACGAGACGTCCTTCTTGTCTTTTCCCTTGGCTTTCTCCTTTTCCTTCTCCTGTCAAATCCGGACATTTCTTTGCTGTCATCAGTTTGTGCGTTTCAGAGAAGCGTTGAGGCGAAGAGACGTCACAGGTAAGCATACCAGCCAGAGTCTTCAGGATGCAGCTTAACAAGAAAGCTACAGGGCAGCGGCATTGCAAAAGCACCAGCGAAGCTGTAAACCCTGTCGCAGCGGCAGTGGCAATCGCAGCGATATCAGCTGCAGCATCTGCACGCATCGTTTGGACCACGTTGCTGCCTTCTCTTTGACCTTTTTATCTTTGTGCTGCTGCTTGCGGTCTTCCTCCTCTTCCTCTTTCTTTTCGGCTTCCTCCTTCTTCTGTTTCTTGGACTTCTTGTCCGGCTTTTCGTCTGACTCCTCTGCCTCCTCCTTGCCCCCTTTCTTATCCTTCTTCCCCTTGTCTTTTTTGTCCTTCTTCTCTTTCTTCTCGTCCTCACAGGAACACCGATGAATGAGGCAGACGGCACGGACATGGCGCTGTGGCCGCGGCGCCTTCTCCTCCGTCTCTATGCCCTTCGTCTCCTTGCTTTTCTCTTTCTCTATCTTCTTCAGCTCCTGAAAGATTAAAGCACAGATCGCAGTTTCTGGCCCTTCTGCGACTCCCATCATGACCCATCATGCTCCAATCCTTGGCTTCCGTCTTCACCGCCTGCAACAAGGCGAAACCAATCTCTGCAGAGTAGTCTGCCCTGACTGCCCTGAGCCTTCTTGATGTTGTCTTGGAAGCGGTCATTGCGCTTCTGCTCTTCCTGATGTCGGCTAAGCTGAGCCGAGGCAGTGCGAACAAGCCCACACGAGGTCCTGAAGCCGCTTAACCTTGACCCTCCAACGAAAACTATGACTATGAGCCATCTGAACCATGTTGTGCAAGTTGATCGGTTAATGCATGTTCCAGCTTGTGCGCCACTCTGTCGGCAAGCTGACTCACTTCGAATCGGAAGCATGCGGTCCCCTACACACCACATCAACAAGCTCTGTTGCATCAACAGACTTGGTTCATGTCCGAGGATGGCCTTTGTCATCTGAGCTGGAGCCTGACTCACGAGGATCAATATCTGACTACCGCCGGCCACAGCTGGAAGCGCGTGCCTCCGCTTCCGGCTCCTTCTCCCGTTGCGGCGAGGGAGAGCGGGGGTACATCGTCCTCATGCAGCACGGGCCAGGGCTAAAACAAGGGCAAGGACTTCTTCGTCTTTTTTGGTCGTCTGGGGCTCTCACAGGAAGGAGAAGAAAGCTTTGCTTCTCATCGCACTGCGATCCAAGAGCCAGGCCTTGCCAGGGCGAAGTCCAACGTCCGAGGTTACGGCAAAACGCCGCTCTGACCAGTGACTGCCCTTTTGTCAAAAAATCCCTGCCTGCCCTGGGCTGGCTACCATGGGGCAATGCTACAGCCAAGAGGCAGCAGAGTCTGAGTAAGGAGCGGGTGGGCAACAGCGACAAGGAGGGGGAGAGACGGAGAGAGAAAGGAAACTGAATGAAGACACAGACTGACGTAGACAGACCAGCAAACGCTGACCGCACTATGACATTGACAGTGTCGGGGCGGCCTCTTCGAAGTCAGCTCGCCAAGTATCAACCTCGCCTGCAGGGGGTCAGCAGCCAGTACCAACCAATGCTCAGTGCCTCTCCGTGCCACTCCGCGCCTTTGCCCTTGCCCTTCGATGCCCGTTCCGGCGAGCGCCTCTGAAGGGGAAGCGGAGCCGAGCGGAAGCGCAGAGCGCGCGGGAGCGCGGAAAGAGCGCCGCCGCTCCTGACCGGCGACTCGGAGAGGCGCTTGCTCTCCACCTGAACTCTTGAAACGCTCCGAACTTTTCGGACGAATCACGCCAAGGATCAAGCTGCAGAAAGGCAGTCAACTTTAGGGCTCCGGCGGGTCGGTTCACGAAGCCTGCTCGGAGCAGGAACACTGACGCCCTCGCGGTGACTGACACACTGACAGTGCTGTCAAGTTGCGTGGGGGAGGTTCCGGGGATGGTGACGGTGTTACACTTACCTCGGAGGGTGGATTTGGTCATCAACCATTAAACGTCGACTCCTGACCAAGCAGAAACCACCCCGGGCTTCGGGCTCGCCGCACACCCCGGGCTGGCCTCAACGTGAAATCGGCTAGGGCGGACAGGGCAAGACAAGCTTGGCCCCGGGCTTGGGGGATGCTGCCTTCCTGCCACATAGGGAAATATGCAAGCACTGCCGGACTTCGGACTCTAAGACATCCCACACAAGGCACCTGGCTCTTTTGTCTTCCGAGGAAGAAGATGAGGATGACTGGCAGCCACAACAGCTCCCAGGGGCAGTGACTGTGGCAGTTTTGATCTTTTGATTGCGAGCTACCCGCTGCCCTCATTGCCTGCTTTCGCTTTCTTGGCGCAGTCATGGATTTGCAAGAACCTGCTAGAAGGACATAGAAGGGCCGCAACGCTGCAAACTTGTCCTGATTGACTGTTCTGGGCCCCGGACACGGTCAGAATAGAACGATCAGCTAGCAGGCATCGATCATCGAGGCTTGAAAACGCAGTCTATCTGTGTTTGTACGCACTAGTTTGGGAAGTACACGTGACGTCAACAGGCTGCATCTGTACCCAGTTTGCTTCGGGTGCTGTGGCTTTGTGGTTAATATCTCTGTGGCCGAAATGCGCGGGTCACTTTGCTTCAACGAACCTCTAGTAAGAGCGTCAACGGAAGAAGAGCTTCTTCTAAACTCATGCGACTTCGTTGCCACCACGTGCTGGGCAAAAGATAAAGTCAGTCTTTTCGGATACAGCCATAATGTTGATAGCGGAGAGTAGAAAGGGCGGAGCACACAGCGAAAGCCACGCTATCGCACAAGGATGCACAGGGCCATGTGCCATGTGTCATCATGCCGGGTGCCAGCAACTTGGAGCATCAGATGCCGAACAGTTCTCCCGTAGACGACTCAGAAGACTCAACACCACCAGCTTTGCCAGGCTTCCGGAAACGCAGCTCTCCATCAGCACTCGCGAAAGCTCCTGACCTCAAATTTCTCCACCTAATTTGATTTCCTTCGGAAATGCATTTCTTGGGAACAGGTTGCAGGACAAAAATTTCAGCTAGTCGGGCAAATTCGATGCCAAGATCCACAACCTGTTCATGGACAATTCGCACCGGCTGCTGCTCCTGCACACAAACAATATGTTACGAAGACACCGCCGTGTCGCTGGCCACTGGATGCAGCAACCCATCTGCCAGATGCAGCGAGGGGCTCTGCTGTGGGCTTCCCCCCCAAGACTTAGCATGGACTTGCTAAGCTGATGCTTGTGGCTCCTCTGGTTGCTTCATCGCGATGCTTTAAAGAGTGCATCTTTCTGCGTGGCCTAGGAAGACCTGCGCCCGCCGACACCAGCGCCACCCTCGGGGGAGGGCTTTTTCAAGGCTGCGGCCGGCTCTGCGGGCGCGAGGGTTTAGGGACCCAGAAAACCGCCCGGAATGCCAATCATGGCCCGGGTTACACGTTTACACTTTTCACGATTGTTTTTTCACCTGCTCCGCAGCTCCGTTCAGAGCGTGCGGGGAAAGTGACTCTGCAAGGTCGGGAAACATGTGCCCACACCTTTGCTCAGCAGTCGAGCGGTCTCGGTGCTTTCGCTCCCACCAAACCAGTGGTGCTGATTTCACAGACTGCTGCCACATGTACTATAATATACTCAGACTATAACTATACTATAAATATAATATACTGTAATATACTATAATATACTATAACATAAAATGTCTGGTACTGCCTAGCACCAGCCCCCACGGCCCCACTCCCCTGCGCTCGAAAGCTGGTGGGCAACATCACCTAGCAAGAATAAGTCGAAGCGCCCCTCGCACATGCGGCGGGTCACCGCGCGCCTCAAAGCATGACTCGGCTCTGGCCTGGAGCCATCAAGACACCGATGGAGCCTCGAAAAATGAAGAAAAGGAGAAGCAGGGGGAATGCATCGCAAATCATCGCATCTCGCTCTGATCTCAACGTCCTACATCTTGCAACCAATTTCTTCAAGCATGTTGGACTTGTTCTTTGCAAGCCCAATCAGAGTCAAGGGTGACATTGCACCGGGCACCGTCTCTCATGTGAGTTCACAGGCTTGTGCCGTGGAGGTGAGGGCTTTGCCCAAGTTCACAACGTTTACTCCGCCCAGTCCCAAGGCAATGACCAAATTGAGGGTGCTGCCTGTTAGAAAGAAACTGCTCAGCGACGCAATCATTGGAACAGCGGTGGAGACCCAATCCCACCAACTCATAGAGAGTCTTATCTCGTCCATCGCAGTAGCCAGGACTCCGTCGTTCCAGATCTCGGCGGCAATCCGGAAGACGAAGCTGGCCGTTGCCTCCGTGTTCTTTAGGATCTTGTCGGGTCCACCGAGTTCGCTGACTACTATGTGCACCTTTGCCAGAAAGGAAGCATCCAGGCTCACTCGCTTCAGAACCGCTTCGGCCGCAGAATGCGGGAGGCTTAGCCCGACGACGGATGTCGCGAGATTCAGGACGGGCGGGACTGTCTCCAGCAGTGCTTCTTGGCAGTCAGAAAGCTCAAGGAGCTCTTGTGGCTGAGGAGACCCGGCGCTATACGCAGCCAAGGCAAGGTCTTGCTCACGCGGCTCTGACGCTTCGAATGGCTTGACACCAGTCCATGCACTGAGAAGCACTTCTTGCGCGTGCCGAACCAGAAAGGGTGCCAGCTTGGGGTACCATGTAGCAAGCAATGCCGTAGCTTCCCTGCAGTCTTGCTTTGAGATATTCAGACGCTTCACTAGCACGGAGCCCTGCAGCCATGAAGCTTTCGCGACATCGCTTGGAGTTATGCTACCATCGCCGTCAAGGTCAAGCTTTGGAAAGATGCAGTCCCAAGCCTTTTCGTCTATTCCGCTTGAACCTCCCCACATCCCTGCACCACAAGCTCTCGCGGCATCCGCCAGGGTGAAGTCAAGATATGCAGAAAAGCTCGGGCTCTGCCTCCCTTGCAGTTCCGGCATCCTGCTAGTAAGCAGTTGCAGGAAAGCTGAGTCATCAGTCCCGGCTACGGGTGCCAGCTGGCGAACGAGCACGAATGCTAGCAGAAGGATGGCCATCAAGGAGGGCAGTTTGAGAGAACAAAAAACCTCTTAGACTAGCCTATTTGTGCCAGTGTGGCCTTCTCGACTCTACGGCTCGCACATGCAGGGTGACTCCAGGCATCTCCGGACTCTAGACGATCCTGGTGAGCCGCAGTGGCCGCGGATCTTGAAAACCTGGAGAATGTTTGGAGAGGTTTCCAATCCCGCAATCCCGGGCCCGCACCGTCCGAGTTGCGGATGTCGGAGAACTCCTCGAAGTCAATCGATTCATCGCCGGGGCTTAACACCTCAAAGGCTACCAAGGCTCTTGTTGAGGTCGGATCGCGGTGAGAAATGAAGACCCGCCTCCTTGAGACCCTCCTCCTCGTTGGCGAACCCTTCTGTGGATGTGGTGATGCCTTTCCTCAAGTTCCTCCACTCCACTTCGCTGTCCTGCACTTCCTGCACTGGCTCTTGAGGTGGCTGGGAGGGTGAGGAAGGGGAAGGGGCCACTTGTGCCGTCGGCGACGTCTGTTCGTCGCGGGGCGTTCTAGGCGTGCGAGGGGTGAGCTGCTGCGGCAGGGCCATGCCAGGAACAGCGCCAAGGCCCGCAAGTCCACCAGCGGGCGCAAAGATGGGGAGAGCGCTCGGCGACGAAGGGGGCTGACCGGGCTGCCCCGGTTCACGGCCGGGGAAGGCAAACACCGGCAGCTGCCCTCCAGAGCGGCTCTGGTTCTGAGGAAAGGCAAAGACCGGCAAGTTTTGCGGAGCCGCTGGAGGCATCTGGCCGGGGCTTGGGCTTACGCTCTGAGGGTGGCCAAAGACGGGCACAGGTCTCATCGTTGGCGATGGTGCCGCCGGGTTTGAGTGTGAGGATGACGTCTTCCTGGGCCTGCTGCTGGACTGCGGCTGTGGAGACTGGGGGCGTGATGCTGTGGGAGGGCTCGGACCAACAGGGACGTTGATGACCATTGGTTGCGGGGGAAGCCTCAGATCACTTTGGGCAGCACTCGAAGGAGCACACTATGTTGCCCCAAGCTCCCGGCGTCATGACTGGTCGAAAAACCAGTGGCACCTGCCCGAAACCACTCGATACACTGGCCTCCCACGGCAAGAAATGTCGCGCCTGCTGGATACAGCTCCAGTAGCATCTCTGCATGCTTCTCATCAAATCGCCCGGGAGGGCACGATCAGCCTGACCAGGCACTGTTCTGAACAGCAGAAATCCGAACAAGCGCAGATCACCAAAGTCAGCCTTGAGGGGCACATATCTGCGGATCAAGTCGACTGCCTGTGATGCAACCCTTCCCAGGCTACACTCGCCTTCCATGCTCCCTACGACACAGGTCCTGCCACTCACAATAATACTGATTGACGGGTTGAGACGAGTCATTGCTCTAAGGACAGATCGGAAGTCGAGCTTCTTTGAAGCAGACCTCGGAAAGCCCTTCCAGCTTGCCGGGCTTGCCTTCGTGGCTACGGTCTCCTCGTTCAGCCGACGCCGCACGTACTGCGGGTTGGCCGACGGCTTGATCTGGGGCCAGTTACAAGCACGACTGGAGAACATCTAGGCTCACTGTTTGCGATACTAAGCCACGAACATCCAAGTGGTAGGCAACTGCCACGTCACCTTGACCGTCAACGACTCGCCTGAGTGGCCCCGGTGTTCAAACTCAAGGAAAGAAAAGCCTGTCGGCCTGCACTCTCGCTGAGCACGAACCCTAAACCCATGACCCATGATGCCTTCCTCGGTCATGCATGTCTTGCCTTACTGTACAGATGTGGGCGTTTGGCAGCCTGTCTTGTGGCCGCGCCTTGTGGCCGAACAGATGCAGCGCAGAGACGTGAGAGGAGTCCCCCAACCGCTGAAGAGGATCCCAGCCGGACAAGAGAGTTCATTTGAGGTACGGAGTCACGAGAGGCGAGCACCGTGTTTGGATCGAGGCACCTTCGACCCAGAGTCTACTTTTCCTTGACCGGTGTGGTTCGGGCAGCTGACTTTCATTCAACTTCAGTAGCCGGGACTGGACGGAGTGCAGCAGATGTGGCCTTGCGAAGGATTTACTTGTGAATACGTCCCGTGCTTGGCGGCGGGTTGTCGACAGCCTTAATGTGACGACCTTCTCTCCTGGAAAGCCGAAACAAGCCCTCCTCGGTTACAACGTTGCCGCCTTCGCGCATGATGAGGAGAACTTTGGATGTCCATCAGACTTTCGCTGCGCATTGAATTGGTCTGACTCGAAGCCACCCACGCAACTTCAGGACTGGCTCTCGCCAGGGCGTGCTGGCCAACAAAACATGCCCATCTCCATATCGTCTGACAAGCCAGCGCGTACATTGCATGGTCAGGGCCGTTTATCGACATGAACATGACTTCAAAGCTCAAGTTATTACTCGGGACTCGACTCTTTCACGAAGCCGCTGACCCAAGTTCCGCAGCTCAGATCCCAGTACCTGTAGTGTCACAGACTTTCGACAAGCAAAACAACGTTGTTTCTACTCAAAGCAGCGGGCGAGATCTTGTCACCCGGGTTGAAGCCGGCACCCAAACTTGGATCCGGCCTAAACAAAGCACTTGAGCTCACTTCAAGTCACACACCCTGCTGCCCTCAGCACTCGGTAGGGGGCTGCTGCAGGAATGAATGGCAAGCCAGCTTTTCGAGGTACCTTCCGGCGCAGATCGTTGCAGATTCAAAGGGGCCCCCAGTTAAACCCTCTGCAGTCCGCCTCTGCCAGAAGTTGATGACGACAGAGGTGCCTTTGCTTGGCCCCAACGATGCACAGGCGCCTTTAAAACAAGAAACACCTTGCAAGAGCCGATTTTTAAGCCCAGGACAGATCGGAGCCGATTCCCAGCACTTCTTCACACCCTGTCAGACAAGACAGGGAATGAGCCGCGGAGCTCGATCGCCCGGCTCCTGACCTCCAACGTCTGACTAGCAGTCGGCTTTTCTACCATTTCTGCTGAAGAGAGGACCTCGAGACGGGATATCTGAGATCAGTCCTGGACGAGCTAATGTGGAGTGGCCAGACACTGATACTCATGTATACATGGCATGCACCATTTTTCTCCAGGAAGCAATGCTGAAGCACCAAAAGTCGTCAATATGCTTCAGTCAATGCAGCACACGACACGGCAGGAGATGAGCAATGAGCGCGCAAGCTGCTTCACTTCGACGGATCACCCATCGTGTCTGCACAGATTGCTCTTGTCTCGGTCCGGGAACCTCAGCACGGCAAGACTCCATACAAGTTGTGCAAAGAGCCGCACTGATTTTGCACGACAAGGCCTGCATCTCTTGGATAGGTCCAGTACCTTGGTTCCGGCCAGCTGCCAACTGGTGTAGGCACTGCCATCGACAAGTACATCGCAAATATTGGAACTGATACTGCTCTGCTGTCAACACGAAAGATGCGTACTCCTCTGTCATCGCTGGAACCAGTAAAGCAGGCACATGCGTTTGCGTCTGCATATTTACTACGTGCACACATGCGTTTGCACATATAAGAGGGGATCACGAGCTCTCTCTCTCTTCTTCGACACAGTCAGAGGAAAGGCACGTGAGCACCCCTCCCCGCGCGCGAACGCGCCCTGCTGTCCAAAGGTCTGTTCGAGATGTCTCTCTCTCTCGTTTCTTTCGCCAGGGCTGTGGTGTGTCTCTCTCTCTCTCTCTCACTCTTCCTTCCTTCCTTTCTTCCTTCCTTCCTTGCTTCCTACTCTCGAGCAGGTTGCATGACAGCTGAACTGCTTGTATGCTGCAAATCTTGAGCCATGTGAAAGCCTTACCGAAGCAAGAACCTAGCAAAATCGACGATGCCAGGCTAGTATTTCGTTGTGTTGAAGCACAGCTTCTGAATCAACAAGTTGATAAAGACTGAACATGCTCCAATACCCGAGAAGCCCCCCAAAACAACGCATCTTTGCAGTTCTATCTTGCCAGATCCACAACACTCCAGGCTTTCGAGTCCAGTCCTCAAACATAAGCAGAACCTGCAAAGTGACCCTTAAGGACGAACACATCTCTGGGGCATTCTGTACTGCTTCGGTTCATAGATGGAAGCAGCACGATCAAGCAATGTTGTGTACTCTGTGGCCTTGGAGACGGGCTTTTCAGCATCTATACAAAATGGATCTGACCCTAATAGAGAACCAAAACGAGAAAACAGCAACAAAAGCTTGAAGCTCTGTTTGTCTCGTGGCTGTGCCTTGGTACTCTGAATTTGGTTTGGTCTAGGTGTGCCCGCGCGACTCTGACGAGGTCAAAGCCACGGCCGCAGCTTCATGTAAACTCGGGCAGCCTCTAGACTCTAGACTCTACACCCCTGCAGCCTCCGTAACAATGACCCACATTTTTCGCAAGCATGTTCAAAAAGAGGACAAAGGCACATGTGGATGCAGAAATCACAGACAAAAGAACTCTGGTGGATAGCGTCACATCAGCCGAAAGCCCCTCATTCCTTCCGTGTGGCATTGGAAACCAGGCCAGCCCGCAGAGCACCCACGGGATCAGGGCCACTGCTAAGAGGGCCTTAGCTCAGAGCCACGAGTACCACTGAAATTTCGCCTTAAGGGGCCTCCACAAAACAAGACGAGGTGCAGAGCGCAGCGCCGTGACCGACTGGTCGTGACCGGCTGTGCCCAGACCCCCAAGTTTGCAGCCGAACGCCTCAGCAGCTCCATGACTGCAGGGCTCTGAGGCCGTTCTTCTGCGAAGTTAGATCGGCACCTCGGATATGAGGCCAACCAGAGGCGCCCCAAAAATGGACGAGATGATGCCTTCCAGGGCAATCCTTAGGATGCGCAACACCTTGCAAGATCTTACAAGATGCACAAGGGGGTTTTCTGCTGAGAACTTAAGGCTGCCGCCACAACGCAAGGATCTGTGCCCTGTCGCGGCTGTCTCGGACGATCCTTCGCTCACGGAGCAACATGCAGAGCGACGTCGACGACGACCTACTGTGACTTTCTTGGGACTGCACGCAGGTCTAATGCGCGGGGCGAGTCGATCCGAGCACAGACCGGGCTCCGGGCTCGCCGCAGATGGGTCTCAGAGCCGCTGCGGGCGTCCTCGAAGACCCGACAAACATCTTCCGATGGCCTCGATGCCTCCCCAAATTTGGGGAGTCTTTTTTTCGGACGGGTCACCAGCAGGAGGCAACGTGGAAGGCGAAGAAGAAGCCCACCACCAAACTGAAGCGCGCGGGGCTGCTCATCACCTGCCACACGAGTCGAGTCTCGCCAGGCACTCGTGGCATGCAGGGACAGAAGCCTGTTGCTGGTAAGGCCCCTGCGGCTACAAAGAGCAAAGAGCCCAGCAGGACGGAGAGCTGCGCAACGACACAGCGGCCCCCGTAAGGCCAGCAGCGATGGAAGCGGTCACCCAGCCAGCCACCGAGCAATCCGCCGACCATCCCGCCCAAGCCTCAAGGACAAGAGTGGTCCGGCAGCCGAACCCGACTACACCCACAGCCAGTCCTCCGTAGAGCATTATCTCGCCGGCTCGGAAATCATTGAAGCCACTGAGTTGAAAATACAGCGGAAGGAAAGCGAAACCATTCCATGGAATTCCACCGGTCACACCTTGGTCAAGCGATTAAATCAGACAAAGCAGGATTTCGCTTTCCAGAGCGTGCAAAGCTTGGCCACCAGCCCTGGGATACCATGATTACGAAGGACGGCTTTTTCATGACCAGCTGCACCACTCGGACCTGCGGCTTACACTCCACCGCCGACTGAAGAAATGCCCGACTACTTCGTCATCTTTATCCGATGCTTTCTCCGTCTCTGCTGGCACCTGCTCTTCCCACCAGGATCGGCCCTTGGTGTTCATCCCAGAAGCGGCCAACGTATCTGGAACGACGGTCACAACAGCGGCGACGGTGAGGAAGGAGGCGATGCCAACCAACGCGTAGATGCATCCTCAAGTGCTGATGCCCGAGACTGCCCCTTTGCGGAGGTTTGCTTGCTCACGGATTGTGCGATGTGCTGGAGAAAGCAAGTCACGCCAGCCATATACGCCAGCGATGAGCACCCTGGCAAAGCCGGTGGTGACGAAGGTCACTCCAACACTCCTCGGACGTCATCCCACATCGTGCAGCGGAGTGAGGCTCACTCTCACAAGAGATCAGCTCAGATTCAGAGCCGTGGAGATAGACTGCAGGAGCCCGAAGACCCAGCCCCGCTCGGCTTCGGGAACCAGGTCGCAAAGCATGGCTTGACCGATCGGTGCGACCACCTCAGCTGGACAGCAGGGCAGGCCACCCATCTCGTTTTCGTGCAGGTCCTTGTGAACTCAAGTTTTTCCTCTTGCTCTCCTGGCCAAGCTGAGTGTCCGCCAGGGCAGCACCCATGACCAGCCGCAGCAAAAAGTGGACCATGTAGTTCGAGCCTCTGCTGCAGGCAAGCTGTTTCACCGCACCTCTGCGGCCACTGCAAGACGGCAAGGACTGCTTTGGGAGCCCAGGTGCTCGCTGCAATCATCATCGTGACAAAACCCCAAAGAAAGCAGCCTGGGTCGCGCAAGGGTCGACCGAAACGAGCCGCCACTTGTCCTAGCCAAGGAGCCACCGGCGAGCAAGTCTCGTGGTGTGTAGAACTGCATCATGGAGCCCCAAACGGGAAGAGCCAAGGAAAAGGCGATGCTCCTTGATGGATGGATCGCAATTGGAGTCTTTGAAGTGCTTGGCTTAGCTTGTCCGGACCAATGACATCATATCTTCGAAATGTAAGTGGGCATCTGAGCGAAGTTGAGCATGGCAAGCTGCGTTGGGCCCACCTCAACATCAAGTCCGACTGTGCCCTTCGCATGCGTCCCAAAGGAGCTTTTCGGGGGTCTTCGCTCCGGCCTGGAGCTGGTCGGCGAGAGCTCCGAAGGTGGCCGGCAGCAGAGCCTCCGAACAAGAGGACACATTGCGACTGAGACGAGGAAGTCCTCGTCTCTCGGTTACAGACTAGTCCACATGTCTTGCATCGCTTTGGAAGAGTTTCATGAGGGGCTTGTTTGAGGGGCTGGCCGGCTCTCACGACTGGTCAAGACTTGCCGCCCAGCTCAGCAGATCGAATCCTTCAATGCTCTGAAAGCTGCTTTTTTCTGGCTGTGGCCTTGTCCGCAGCATCGATGGCACAGGCCTGGGTCGGTGCTATGGCTCGGCTTCCTTCGGCTGAAGATGCTGAGGACCCAGCAAGGATCACGACCTTGATACAATCCGACTGCTGTGTAAAAGCCATTCTGCAGCTCCAGAACCAAGGGGTCATTCTGTCCGAGGGGCATTTCGAACCTTGACCGAAACCGAAGGAGAACTTGCGATGGTCGGCATGGCATCTCACTGGCTGTTAGACAGCTGTCACTCTCATAGGAGCCGAAGCAGCTGGCGGCCATGCAGCGATACGAGCGACAACGGCGGCGTGATCTCTGCTTCCGGAACCTTCCCCTCCGAATCTTTGGGGCTCCGAGCCGCTCTGGCTGCCGTCGTCGCACTCCAACTCGCCTCGGCAACAAACCCTGCAGAAGATTGGCCGCAGGGCGATGAGTTACACCCCTAGATTTCCATGTAGTCTAGCTCGAAGCATTCATGATTTGCATGTTGCCATCTCGTCAGCAGAGGCGCAGCAACATAGAACTCCCATGATGCAGCCCAAAACAAGAACCACCACACACTGCACACTCTCTACTGCCGGCCTGGTTCTTGCGCATGTCTGAGAGAACCAAGGCCATCAAGTCGACACGCAGAGCTCCGCGAAGCTCCTCCTGAGCTGCGTGCTACAACCAAATGCGGAAAGCCTCAGCCTTTGGGCGTGCAGTAGCCGTAAAGTGCTAAACACTACCTTTGCCGTGCAAGGAGCTGGGCTCTGCCAGATCTCCACGGCCTCGTGCGGCTCAAAGTTGCACACGTCGCCATCGCGTTCGACTTCACCTTTACAGGCCAAGGCTTCCGGCAACGATCCAGACAATGCCGGGAGTTCATGCAAGCGGAAGCGCCTACCAGGGTCAGCTGCCGCCCCAAGCGCTCGACCATGATTACACTTTCCTTGGCTGCCAGTGCCACTGCTTCCGAGCACAATGGGCCCGCACCAGAAGAGAACGAGCTTCGGCTTCCCACAAGCCTTGCTCCCGTCGCGTGCTTTCCAATGTGGGTATGCGCCAAATCGCCTGGGCCTGCAAAGGACACTAGGGTCACTACGAGTTACGAGTGCAGCACGGCTGCTGTGTTCCCACCCTCCTCATCGCCTTCTCAGGCCAAAGGCTCGCGAGCTGTCCTGCTTCGGCGGAGGATGCCAGCACCTCTCGGGGCTTGCCAGTCCTCAGAGTCGTGCCACAACTGCGGTGGACTCGGACTGGACTTCTTGCTGCTGTGGTTCCAGGTGGCTCTAACGACTGAAAACTCACTCGCACTTGCAGCTCTGCACAGCGCACACGCTTTATCCTGCAACCATTGTCTGCGTAGTCACTAAGGCAACACAAGGGGCCCCTGCTCAGCCAAACGCCATCGGGCAAAGCAGTTTGCTTTCGGGAAGCGCTGTACACTCTAGATTTCACAGCCTCCGGTACTTCGTTTCCGAAAGCAACATCATCGCTTGTTATAGCCGCGCTCATCCCGTTCTGCCCGTTTTTCTTGTAGAGCATGAGCCTCCGAAACGATTTGATATTCGCCGGAATCGAGAAGTTCATACAACGCCTCGAGGTTCGCATGCTTTTTGGTAAGTCCATCGACGACCATGCGAGGGTGAGGAATCCAGCGAATCTTTGCATTGATCCCGCTCATATTTTGGCGCACAACTTGCATTTCGAGGCCTGTGCGCTTGTCGGCTGAGGGGCCTGTAGTTTCCTTGCTGAGATGGTCATACAAGGCTTTGGCGTCCACTATACATAGGCTCGACTTCAGAAGTTCATCCGAGTCCTCCGAGGCAATCGCAACGACTTTATTCTTCTTCATCTGGGCCTCCCATAATGCTAAGTCGAACTCCTTGTCTTGCAACTCGTTGTAGAGGGTGACGACCCAGCACCGTTCACCTAGCCCCTTCGACAGACTTTGAGTCTCGGCCGCCAGCGTCGAGTTGACAATCTTCTGAATGCGTCCGCTCCTCCATGATATGAGTGAGCAAGGAACTCGACAACCTTTTTGAAGATCCTCGTGGAAAGCCAAGATGCCGTAGGCGCCCTGGCTGTGACCGCCGTAGGCATTCGCAAAGCTGGCGTCAGAAATAACTCCCCATGCCAGCTTGTCCACCTCAATGGCTCTTATCTTGATAGACAATTCCGAGCGTTCTTTGAGCACCTTCACTGCACGGTTCACATCGAGGATGTCCTGGATCGTGGGCTTCGGGAAGCAGGCAGCTCCCAAAGAAGCTGCGGCTGCGCAGTCCGGCCTGCCTTCCTTGGCAGCCCAGTTGAGCCCTCCAATCACTGCCCTCATCTGGGCAATCTCGGAGTCATTGGCTAGGGCCTTCACGTCGGACTTCCGACCTTTCGCCAACGCCACAGGTTCCAGCCGCTCGCACACAAACTTCGTCATGTCCACCTCGAAGTCAAAGGTAGGTAGTTGGCGAACCCTTCGGCCGTTGAATCCCACTCCCTCTGTAGACTCCATAACAACCTCGTACTTCCCAAACTTGAACCGCTCTCGTAGTTGAGCCATCCGTTCCTCATGAACAGCATTGCCGAACGTGAACAGATCGTCCACCTCCACTGCGATCACGCCGTCCAGGACCTCGTTCGTCCTGAGGAAGTAGATTGTCGGATCAAGCACCGACCCCTGGTATCCCAAAGCAAGAATCGCCTCCTTCAGGGTCTGCCGCCAATGACTCGGCGCGTCATTCAGGCCGTAACACCCAGAGATGATTTGAATAAGTTGCTCTGGGTCCAGTCCATCAATTCCGCTCTTGGGCTGACTCGCGTAAAGGTTGCCTCTTTCCCTCACCAGCGGCGATGATTGCATAAATGCATTCTTTAAATCGCCAATTGTGGCTTTGTACTTCATCGAGGCCGCCGTTTGCAAAAGGACACCGAAGGACGTGGAGTTGAGAGTCGGAGCATATCGTTCTAACGTCAGAATGTCAGGATCGCGATCTCCACGAATGCACCAGCGCGACTTCCGAACATCCGGTTGCCCCGGTTGATCAGAGGGCTTCCACCGACGCACCATGCGCGACGGAAGAATTCGCTGACTCTCTTTCGGGTCAGCTCTGATACGCCGCGATTCCTCCACTGACAAAACCTTCACGGCGTTCGTTTGGGCAACCTTGTCCCACTCCTGCCTGTCGCTGATCCGCCACCCAGGCCAATCCTCCGCCTTGATTTCGTGTTCAAACACTTCTCCTTGTCCACGGTTCTTGCCACTGGCGAAGGCCTTGACATCAATCTCCTTGGTACTGAACACGGTGAAGCCAACCCATGAATAGCTTGTTTTGTTCAACTTCTTGCGGTTCTTAAACCAGTTGTCCCCATGAACATGAACCTCGCTATTCTCGTCAACCATGTAGGCGGCGCGATGTTTAAGCCTCCGAGGCATCAAAGCTCCTCGGACTTTCGCTGGGTTGCACAACTGCCGGCGCGGGAAGTTGTGCTGTCTGATCACAATGTCTTGGCTTACCTCCTCCCAGACATCGGGTTCCCAAGTCCATTTGTCCCCTTCCAGCGAGTACCACATACTTGATGATGGCTCATCCACCTTCTCCGCAAAGTACGGATGATGTCGGCCTTCAGGGCGATGTTGCATGATGCGCCTGGCCGCTTCATAAGGTGCACTACCGGGTGGATTGCCATCCAACCGCTCGTTCCTCATCACTTGCCTCGCAGTCTCAGCTGGATCGCCCAACACCGGGCGAGGCTCGAGGGACTGTCCTTCGTTCTGAACCGGAACTGGCTCTGGCTCGGACTCCGTGGTTCTGCGACTGATGTTTCGCGGACCTCCGGAAGGAACTTGAGGTCCTTCAGGAACAGGATCACCTCCTGGTTCTGCCTCACTCGGCTCATAGTCGAGCTCACTGTCCTCTGGTATAGCGACATCGATCCCGTCGTCTCGACGCTGTCGCTGCGCGGGTCTCTCGGAACCGCCACCGCCATCTAAGCTGTCGAATCGTTCGGCACCCCGATGAACATCATCATCATCCTCGTCATGAGGGGCGCCCAAACCAGTCATATCCCTGAAGGTCCTCTTGCGGGTAGTTCTTCCCAGCTCCTCCTTGAGTGCTTCGAGCTCCCCTGCCAAGATCTCCTTCGCGACCTGCTCCTCAGAGGTTGCATGTCGGCACTGTTCGAAACTTGCTTTCCAGAGCTCGCCCTTCATAGAGATCCACAAGCTTGGAGTTTCCACCGCCAACACCACACCAGGTCCAACCCACACAGGCTTGCGACCCTCCAAAGACTCCGGAGTGATCGCATGCTTCCGCTTCCTCACATTCGGCTGGCGATAGACATAAACTGTTTCTCCAGCTGAAAACTGAACTTGCACTCGGCTCCTGGCGTTCTTGGCCTTGGACAACGCAACCTCAGTCTGCGACTTGATGTACGCCTCTTGTGCAGCTGCCCTAATCTCCAAAGTTTTTCGCATCTCTGTGTCTGCACTGGCCACGACCATTGAGGGGTCGAGGCTGTCGTCCGAAAGAAGAGATCCGGGCAACCGAAGGTTGTGGCCGATCTGCCGCTGCATCGGAGAAAATCCGCTCCGGTTTCCATATCTGTTCTTGGCACACTCCACGGCATACATGAGGGTTTTGATTTCCTCCCAAGAACCAATGTATGAGCTCTCGCGGGCTTTTTCGTACACGGACTTGAAATGTGCCCCCGCACGCTCTGTTTTCCCAGCCTGCCAAGGCGACCTGGCCGCCGTATGACGAATCAACGCCCCAGCCTGGGAAGCGAGGTCGGGGAATTGACCTCGAAATTCAGAGCCCAAGTCGGCGACTATCACATCTGGAACGCCGAAGGTTCGACACCAAACCCTCATGAAGGTGCGCCAAGTATGAGTCGCCTCGGTCGACTTCAGTCTCTCCACCGTTTGGTAGGACGTTCCCCAGTCCGTGATGTTGAGCGCAGGAAAGGTCTCTCTTCTGTTGAGCGCGCTCAGGAAGATCACATCCATGCCCACAACGCGTCCAGGTTCATACACCTTTGGAAGAACAGCAGGTCGGGCCGGCTTGGGCCTGATCCTTGCCTCACAAATAGGGCAACGGAACTCCCGGGCCACAAAGCGAATGATGTGTGGCTTCGCATTGGCCAGCTTGACAGACCTGGCCACTTCACGTGGAGCAGGATGACCTAGGTTGTCATGCAACTTCTTGACAAGCCTCTTCTCCTCAGCACTGGGTTCCAAATCAACCTGCTCCACCGAGGGTTCGGGGTCTACTTCCCCATCTGCATCAGCTATCATCTCTGCTTGCTCACCCTCTTCCTCCGCGAAAACCGAAGAAAACTGCCCCACACCTTCTCGGTGACTTCCATCGAACATGTATAGGCGAAATCCAATCTCCCGTAGCTCTCGTAGAGTGGTCTCGGTGGCAAAGTCAATCGCCCTCGAAGTAAAGGCACTGATCACGATGCGCTTGCCCGTCCACTTGCAAGAGGCATGCCAAGTTCGAGGGTCGAACTCCATCATCTTGTACTGGATGTCGTAGTTTTGCCCCGCCACTCTTGTCCCTTGAGGAGTCCACCTCCATCGGTACGTAGTTGAAGCGGGGTTTCGCGGGTCTTCACTCTCTATCCAAAGCTCGCCGCCTGAGTAGCCGCCCACTCCAAAGATGTAGTTCTTCGACGAAACCTTGTTGTGGTGGTCCTTGTGCGGCCTGCTCCCAGCATTCAAGCCAAGTGCGATTGACGACCATGTCGCGTGCTTCAGTCCTTGACAACGAGCTTGATAACTGACCAACTCGTTCAGGTATCTGGTGAAAGTAGCTAGCGTCCTTGAAGCATTGGTGACTCCGCACTTTGCCCCATGCGCACACAGGCCGAAGAGGTAGTAGACGCCCTGCATGTCGGACTGTCGATTCTTGGAACATAGCTTGGGAAACCTGACCAGGAACTTCTCGAGAGACACCATCGAGAAATCTCTCTGCTTCAACAAACGGCTGGCCATGTCCTCCACCTCAGCCAATTCTGAAGCCGACGCAAAGCACTCATTCCCTGGTAAAGGACCCCCACCATGCTCCTGACAATAAGCTTTGAGACCCCACCGTGCTCCTGACAAATATCATAATTGACGACCACCTGGTGTGCCTCCGGATTCTGTTGAAGGCCATAGACGCTCTCCTGGTGTGCCTCCGAATTCTGTTGAAGGCCATAGACGCTCTCCTGGTGTGCCTCCGAATTCTGTGGAAGGCCATCGACGCATTCCTGGTGCGCCTTCGAATTCTGTTGAAGGCCATTGACGTTTTCCTGGAGCGCCTCTCGACTTCGGCGAAGGTCGTCAATGTTCTCGGTCGTGAACCTTATGTTCTGGACTTTCGCATCCATTGCACTCTTAAGGAAGTACTCCGAGTTTCCGGTCATCACAAGTCCATCTGAAAACCTGCATTGCACACGCCGTCCAAGTAGGTCCTGGGAGTTCAGGAGATCTTCCACATATTCTCGGTCAGGTTCTGAATGCATAAGAAGAAATGCACGACCGTTCAGATGCTGCCACTCGGCTGCATCACACGCCATGTGTAGCGACTCTCCTTCACGGCTCGGCCGTAGAATCAAATGGCTTGGCTCGGAGCTCCACATTCTGTGCCAAAACTGTTCTTGACAGGACGGATCCAAAATGGCCATCGTCCCATCATCACTCACGAAACAAGGGCTTGACAAACTTGGTGAAACCGCCTCCTGCACCTCGTGGGGCTGACCTGGCTCCATGTCTTGTAATAGACGTTGCGCTTGCCCATTTGCAAGCTTTCTTTGCGATGCGGTCAAAGCTTTGTGCTTACCATCGTCTTCACTCCACATCACCATGGAAGCCTCATCATCGAACTTAACTGCCAAGATGGCGCCGTCGAGCTCCTTGGGCAACCAACCAGCATGTTCGTGCCAGCAATCATCTTCTTCACTCCAGCGGCAAAACATTCTCGACATAGACATCTCCCACGGGGCATTGGTTCTAGAACAAAATGTTCGCATCTGGGACCTTCGTGCGGTAGTCAATTGGGCCTTCGTCTGCACCAAACATAAGCTTTCTGGCCCAAGTCCCTCCGGCAACCCATCGCCGGTCACTCCGCGTGCACAATCTGAAAGCCACCATCCGGGCCCTGCACGTACAACTCGTCCTGTGCCTCCGTCTCGTCCACCTCCATCTGCTGAATGGCCGGTGCATCCAACCGACGTTTCAGCTCGGTCTTCTCGGCCTCGTCCCAGACAAAGAACTCGCACAGGCGCTTCGCACAGCGGTAAAAGTGCCTCCCCTGGGTCGGTCCCGCCTTCTTGACTTCCCAGCGGTATGCTGGCTGGCGACAGTGGCAAACCACTGCCATCGCGCTGCTTCCTGAGCTCTCCCCCGTCATCGGTCCTGCTGTCCTTGGTGGCGTAGACCCGAGGGTTGTCGAAGTTCTCGTCGTAGAGAGGGGGTACGCCTTCGCTTCGATCTGCTTCTTCTTGAGCTCCTCTGGGCTGAGGTAGGTCCATCTGCCCAGGCACAGCGCGCAGTGAATGTCCTTCGAGTACTGGTTCCCTCCACCTTTCAGCTCCGAGGCCGGGTGAAGGCACTGTGTCACACTCACACGGGCTGCTTCCTTGGACTTGCGAGTCCCCAGAAACGCCGCATACTTGATAATCTCCGCATACTCCAGCTGCTTGTCCTTGGGAGCCGTAGAGGTCGACGTCGAGCTTGCCGGGGTAGAACGAGATGGGGCCGCCTCCGGTGAGGACAGAAGTCCCAACCGTCGCAAGGAGCCATCGGGAAGCCAATCCCATACTCTTCCTCGGACGTCTATCAGCTCCATGAGGTCTATCAGCTTGTCGGTGATCACTCTCCACCGTTTCATGGCGCGCCGTGTGCGCATCTCCGCTCCAGACATTCTCGCGGGATTGGCCGGGTGATCCCGCTCTCGTTGATCTAACATTCTCTGGAGGAGCATCTGTGCCATGATTCACGGCCTCGAATTTAACCTTTCTCAGACTGGGCTGCTCGAGCGAAGTCATGCTGTGGTTGACAAAGGCGTTAGAAACCAAAACAAACTGCTCCATGCTCAGGTTGTTACTCTCAGCATCACTTGGCAAGGACCAACCCTCAGGCGCAAAGGACATCACATCGACTGACATGTGACCTGAAGGCAAAGTAGTCATCGGAGTTTTGACCCCAAAGGCCTTGAGCTCGAGCACGTCGCTGTCCAGATCCACAATCGCCCTTAGTTGACGAAGCATCTTCACAGGAAGGAGCAGAGGCACGTTGTCCGTCACGACAGTCAGCTCCATAAGCCCGTTGATTCCAGCTATGCCTACCGGAACTTCAGCCACTCCTATCACTTCTGCGCGGCCGCCAACTCCACTAGCCTGAGCTCTCTTCTTGAGGTTCCAACGATACTGAAGACCTTTCTCTTTGAGAGCCTGGGCCAACTGCAGAAGTGCCGCCGCCTTGCCGATGAGGCCGTCCTGCGCGGCCGTGTCGACGATACCTTCCGTGGGGCGTGTGGAGATGCCGACGAAAGATTCAGCGGGCTCATCAGAAACTACTTGTCGTAGAGGTGACTGCTCGCTACTCCTCTGGCGGTTCACTGCCCTCAAGATGCTTCCAAAAGTGGGCACATAGGACATCCAATCTCCCTCGTTCTTTTCGCCGTAGAAAGTCTGCGCGACTCCAAGACCATCGGCCTCGCTGCTCTGTACAAAGAAACCCGACCGTACCGAAGGTGTGGAGGCCGAGGAAGGTTGCGTCGAAGCCGAAGTTGCCCTTGCAGCCGTCGCCCGTCCTCGTTCGTCTGGGGCATTGCGGCACTCCTTTGCCCAATGTCCCACCTGGCCGCACCTTGCGCACCGAGTGCGCAACTTCAACATGTCGACGTGCACTCGGGTCCCATTCTTCGTGAACTTGACCTTGTCGCGCCCTTTCACCGCGAGTGCCGGACGGCTCTTCCCGCCTCCAGTGCCCTTGCCCTTTCCTTTTCCTCCTCCGGGAGAAGACGAGGAAGACTTCCCTTGAGGATAGTATCCCCGATTGGTACGTTGTTCCCGGAGAGAACGACGAACGTCCTGGTACGTGGCGAGCGCTTCTAACATCTGGTCCTCATCAAACACCTCTTGCATGTCATTCTCGCCGATGTACACATAGTCCTCGTCGAGCTCGGACTCACCATCGTCCGGGGAGAAGTCCCCGATGTAGGTCTCGTTCGTCAACTCGGGGTCCTCCTGGGTCTCATCGGTCTCGGTCACATAGTGGCTTGGTCCTTTCCGCTTGGCGTCGAAGTTTCCTTTATCCAAACGCCTCAAATTTTCCACCACGGTCTTGCGGTCGTAGCTGCCTTTTCCCCATGTCAACATCTGACTTTGCTGCACTTCATTGAGATTCGCGTGCCTGAACATCACATAGCCAACTGCAATCTCATGAAGAGGAACCTTCTGCCTCTCCAGCTCCTTGAAAGCGTACTCCATCCGGATGACATAATCCCCAAAGGATTCACGGCCGCCTCGGGGTTCTCCGTATATAGCGCTCTCAAACGCCTGAGGCAAGGACGATTCCAAGTGCGGGGAGAAGTGGTCAGTCAAGGCCTTGACGAGGTTGTCCATGCCTTTCTCGCAAGCTATGTCCTCGAAGCTCAAGTTGTCCGCCGTGGCCCTAGCTGACCCGGTAAGCTGCCTCAGCAACTTAACACCCCACTTCTCCTTCGGGATCTCGGTCTCGTACTCCCAGAGTCTTAGCTCCTTCAGCCATCTCGCAAACGTTCTGTCTGGGTCCCGGCCATCGTAGCCAGGAGGCGGATCTCGATCCCGGTAGTATCCTCCGCCATTGCCTCCTCCACCATCAGCTGGCGCCTGAGGGCCCGTTGTCTTAGGCGGCATGGCCAAGACGTCCTCAAAACGCCACCCCCGGAGCGGCCCACTCGGACCTTACGCTCCGCTACCACCTGTGGTTCCAGGTGGCTCTAACGACTGAAAACTCACTCGCACTTGCAGCTCTGCACAGCGCACACGCTTTATCCTGCAACCATTGTCTGCGTAGTCACTAAGGCAACACAAGGGGCCCCTGCTCAGCCAAACGCCATCGGGCAAAGCAGTTTGCTTTCGGGAAGCGCTGTACACTCTAGATTTCACAGCTGCCAAGAAGCACCACGAGCACATGGCCCATGAAGCCGCCAGCATTGCCGATCTCGGCCAGTCGCCCTGACCCACGCATCAGCAGCACGTCGCCTGCACCACAAATTAGATCAAAAGCTCTATGGCTACTGCTGCCCTTCCACCACTTGATCTCGCATGGACTGCGGCACGATGCTCGTGCTTGCATACGCAAACAGAGGCTCCAGTGGAACAAGAGATGAGAGAGGATTCTGGCAGCGGGGCTTCTGTGGGCAACAGCCGCACCTGGTGCAACCAGGAGGTCCAGGCAAGCCCCTGAAAGCGAGAGCTCCATCTTCGGCGGTGCAAGGACTTGAGTCATCTGCCTGGGTAGGAAGGCAGATGCAACCGCGCCCTTAACTTAAGCATGCCGTCGTACGTTGCAAATCCCAAGTCGAGGAGCACAACCGGCTGAGGTGCCGGAGATTGGGGAGCTCCTGTCAATTTTGAACTCGTCCGGGTACTATGTGGGACTCGGACAGGAAAGTGTTACTTCACACGAGGTTCAGGTGCTTGACGTGAGATGTGCACTTGAGACCCGCAAATGAACTGCAAGCCATCTCCTGAAGGCTGTGCAGGCTGCCTTGCTCCATGTTGTGACCACACAGAACATGGCGATGGTTGGCTGAGGCAGGAACGATAGCTGTGCCACAGATGCTGGCGACGTCGCAACCTCAACGACGAGGGAAATAGCATGTGCCTTCAGCTGGTGACACACGCGTGCTGGCAGGGAGCGCGGTGGATATGAGCTTCATCATCAGTGGACGCTGTGTGCTGCCTGCCAAGGCATGCATTGCCTCATTCTCCGAACATGCTGGCTGTTCAAGCGTGTGCCTGACCACCAGATCGGACGCTTTCCTGGTAACCCCATCCTGGTGAGTACAGCGCAAAACGTCCCATCGGCTCTGAAATCCCTGACAGACCCTGGCTGGTATAGCTGGCGCGTCCTCGAACTTGTCTGGCCTTTGTGCTGAGAAACCCAGGCTGTCTGGCGTTCACTGCGCTGCACAGAACAACTTAGGTGGCCGCTGCATCTCTTGGCCTGACACCGGTGCGAGAAGCAAGTCTTTCAAAGCCCGAAGTTCGAAGCCGAACACATCTCGGCGCATTTCTGCGCCTGTGGGCTCCGCTCGGGCTCGGCCTGCTCTCCCACGCTCGCACGCTCGCCCTCCAAGCTCACAAAGAGCTCACTGGGACCCGGGCAGATGCTCTCCCTGAGCTTGTCGCCCCGCTGCGTCGCCTCGCAGGGCTCCGATGCTCCACGAGGTTTGCCGGCTCCACTCATCTCCGCTCCAAGGTGTCTGCTGGGGGCGACGAGAAGTGATCCGAGGTGCTCAAGGAGTTCGCTGACCTGCACTTTGAAGCTCACGTTCAACGGGATGCCGAAGAGGCCCCTGGCCAGACCGAGGCAGCGGCACGCTACCTCCTGGGCTGTGGCTCAAAGGGAGGTCTGTGGAGGCTCCTGTCGCAAAACGCTGCCCGACTGCAGTCGGATGCGGTTGGAGTCGGAAGCCTGCAGCATCCTCGGTCTCTTCCTCTCCTTGGGCATATGCGCCAGACCGGACCGGAGACCTGCCAAAACCAACTCCCCTCGACCACGAAACGAAGAAATGCAGACATGTTGCGTAGGGCGCATCCGAGGGCCGCGCATGTCTTCATCACTGGCACCTGCCTTCCAGTATGTACCTTGGCGGCACTCCTACTGGAATCACTGAAACAGCACCTCCGCATGGAAGCATCGGCAACGCTTTCATCTTCACTCACCAGCTACCCGAAAATAGAACACTTTGGTTTCTATTGTCTCCTTTTCATACATCCCGAGCCTGGGAAGGTGCGGATAAAGATCTCCTCCCTCGACAGGGGGTTCATTGACAGCTCCTGGCAATGCGCATGCCGGGACCGTGGCTTCATACCGTACCTGGCGCTGGGCACGAGAGGATGTCAGTGGCAGCCCGGTGCTTGGTCCTCTTCGCCGTCCTCTGTGGAAGCTTTGCGACGGCCTCGCCAGGAGCACCACAGCATCCGAACCGCCACCTACACTACTAGACGGATCTAAAATACGAGGAAGCGTTTCCATTAGCCCCATATCTTGCAAAAGCATTCTGCAGGCCAGGCCTGCGCAAACTGGAGGCATTGACAGCAGGCTGGAGTTCTCGCACGCCGGCAGGGTGTCGACGTCACCACAGAGCTGATCAAGGATGGCAAACGTAAAAAACACTCTGGAGCATTGTTTTGCCGGGAATGACGCCAGCAAGGCCGGATGCGCCTGGTTTGGAGGCTGGGGGTTGACCTTGACACGGTTCGCCTCTGCGGTGACGCAAGCGGAGATTCTGACGGCAGCGTGAGCGAAGATTCCAGCCTGCGGACCCGAAGCGAGGTGCTTCGGCGACTTCGGGTCCTCCTTGGACATGCCCTTAGCAACCACCAATCGGGACGTATCGGGACTCGAAAGACGGCCCTTGGGCACCCTGGCTTTAACTACTCGACCTTAGCTTCAGTACCCTGGCTCTGAGAAGCACATCCTCTTGGTGCTGCGCCGCTGGCCCCCCTGGATAGGGCATGGCTCCCCACCCCTCCCGTGCCCGAGGATGTCACTACCGTGTGTTTTCTTCGATGGGTTTTGATCAGCCTGAGTGAAATGCGGTCTGCGTCGTTGCTGGTTGTTGTAGGGCATTGTAGGGCTTCATTGGCAACGCCACGACGAATGAATGATACCTGCTCTGAATGTAGTTGCATGATACGAAAGTCAGCCACTCAAGCCGAGCCCGAAACAGTCAGACATCACACTTGTTCCAAGGTGATCTCCACTACCATGCCTCTGCTGCACACTTGTTTTCAAACCCCCATCTGTGAAAATACCGAAAGTAGATATGGAAAGTGTCTTCATCCCACTGTTTTCACACACAACTTGACTCGTCCACATCTGGCGGATCAGATGTGTTGTCCAACATGGCCGTCAATGTGCGTCCCAGAATGTTCAGTGACCTTATTCGTGCAAAACTTAAGGCTCTTCCGACATGGTAAAACACGCATTGCTGCAGTAAACGCATCACCCTCGGTGTCGGGAAAGTGGCAGCGGCAGGCTTGCCTCATTCCATCGCAGCATCAGCCTGCCTGAGCGCGAGCCATACTGACAATCTCAGATGTAAATGTACTGCACGGTGCGCGGCCAAGCGGCTCGTCGCATCGAAATCTGCAGTTCGAAGCGAAGCCATCAGGCGGGCAAGGCTGGGAAAGGTCGTCACATACGGCCTGCAGACACAACTCAGGGACACCACGGCCAAGAAGCACCTTTCGCAGCCCCCGCCAGCGAGCAAAATCCGTCAGGCCGTATAACCTCGCAACACATGCGGGCAGATGCACGCAGCACTCATTCAAAAACAAATCCTTGAAAGGGTTTCGACAAGGGGCGAGAGAAGATGAGCCATGGTAGAGTTCTCCCCAAACCACGGCCAGTCCAAGGTAACGTTGGAATCAGATGGCAAGGCTACGGAGGAACCCTCCTCTCGAGCCTGCCACCACCCAAAATCAGTGTACTCCAGCATTCCTCAAGAACTGCCACCAAGGTTTTTACTACTGACTGTGTACTTGACCGAATGCTGGATCAAGATCGCATTCCAATCTGCTTCTTAGGGTCTCTTGATGATCGACACCACCCAGGCTTTGTCAGGCAGAAAGATCGGAACTCCAATGGCGTAAAGCTCACTGAACAGCAGCATTCCCATATCCCAAGGAAAGTACACGGCTGCCCGGAAACGGCGGAGCTCGTGGTAGCTGAAAGGTCTGGCTATCCCAGCCACGGTCTCTGATGCTTCGCGACTGAGGCCAAGGAATACCTTTGCTGGAGTGAAGAAAATGTTTCAATTTGCAAACGTACAAGCTTTTCGCACGCTCCGCAAGTGTCACCGGGTGACAAGCCGCAAAGAAGTGCCCGGCCGCAGCATGTCCTGCGCGAAGGCCTCCATCAGATGGACCATTGCTCCAGCGCCGTCCCTGGCCCAGCCAGCCATTCTTCCGAGCAAGACTCTTGGATTCCGCGTGTCGGGGTCATACGTGGAGGTCCGAGCATACAAGGAGTGGGGCCTTAGGCAGAGAGGCCTCTGCCCAGTCTGGCGCTGCACCTGCCGTGCCAGGAACTCGCTGTACGCGACAAGGCTGGAACGTCTCGCATTCGCCACCTGCACCTCTCGCAGCTGCACGAGCAGCAGGTGTCGGAAGGCTTCGGGTGTGGCACCGACCAGCGGGAAGGCTTGGTAGAGTAACATGGGCTGGCTGGTGAGACTGCGAAGGAAGGAGCACAAAGCCATGGGCTGTGCACAGAGAAAAAGGTCTGGGTCTCCGAAACTGGGATCCTTCAAGCCTGCATGCAGCAAGTTGAGGAGATGCTGAGGTTCCCAAGTCGGGCGATACATCTGCTGGACCAGAAGACGCACCGCGGCGTCAATGTGAGGATTCTGTTCACAATGGCCAAATGACTCGCACATGATCTCTGGAAAGGGGTATGTGGTGCCCAACACGGTAGAAGCCAGTGGCACCCCTGCCTGAGCAAAGCATGCCTCGACCATGGACAAAGGCTCCATGTTGCTGCCCATGTGAGAGCCGATAACCACCATGCGAAACGTCTTTGGGCCGAACCTCGTCTTGACAGCGCGCAAGGGAGGCGTCAGATCTCTTGCTGAGAGATCCAGGTGCTGGAGCACGAGCTCTGATGGGGGTGTCCACACGGAAATGGTTTCCGAGGCCAATCCATGCAACAGACGAAGCTTCGGGAGCCCGAGAGCCGGGCAAGAGGACGCGGACAGGCCGGACTCACTGCAGGCGGTCCACTGATCCTGAACCAGCCTCACGTCCAGAAGATGCAGCGGCCAGCGCGAGCTTTGGGAGAATTCCAAGGGACCCCAGTTCTCTCGAGTGTCCATATTCACCAGGGGACCCCGCGTGATGCGCTTCAGGCATCGCTCAACTCTGAGCGAGGACGCCTCTGACGAGATATCGAAGCAGTGCCAGAAGTTGGCAGTCATGACCCCATAGATGCAGGAAGTCTCCGGTGCCGCTGCTCTCCCAGTCCTTTTCAGGCATGGCGAACACAAATCGTTGCAATCTGGCAGCTACGAGTAGCTAGGAGCAACCGGCTGATCTTGCATGATCCTGCATCATGAGAATTTCACCGGAGCGCTCCGGTCAAAGAGAGGATTGGGGTGCTTTCGCTGTCCGAGGCTCAGTGGTGCGGACAGCTCCTGCCGCGCCCTCAGCAGTGCCAAGGGTGTCCAAATCCGCAGCAGACGCCGGACCACGAGGAGCAGCGAGGAAGGCACCGTCACACCTCAGAGCTCTAAAACAGAGCAGCATAATTTAAAACTAAAGGAAGCCCCCAAACCGAAAACCCTCAACCCTATGAACCCTATGAACCCTATAAACCCTACAAACCCTATAAACCCTAAAAGCCCTAAACCCTAAACCCCCCCAAAAGCTGGAGTTTCTTGGGGCTCTGGCCGGCGAGGCCCAGGTGCTCTTCCGTGAGTTCACGCAGCTCGCGCCACGGGGACACGCCCTCAGCGACCTCTTCTCTCCGCGGAAAACTCAGAGACAGGACACGCTTGGTTTTCCAATTTGAGACGAGGACAGGGCAACCTTGCCTGTTTAATCAAAAGATCGTCAGAATGTTCACAAAAGGCGGAGTGGCCTCACAGTCCAAATGCTTGGTGATGAGGTCCATGTGCAGGTGATCCCCCTGTCTCCAAGGCTTCCGTCAGCTCCATGCCGCCATGGCCCGCTACGTTCATGCCGCATGCCCTGTGAGCAGTCTACAGATGCACCACAAGGTTCATCACACCCGCACAGCTTCTTAATTTCTCTGGGGCAGTACTGTCTCCTGTCTGCGGGCGACGTTTTCTTCTGCACCAAACATGGGGTTGCCATGCTCGTGATCTGGCACCAGCTTCAGTGGGATGTCGCGGGCAAGAGGCATTCCAATCCAGTTTAGCCGAGAATGCTCCTGGAGGCAGCAAAGCAGCTCGCAGACTCTACCAGTACGGAGCGCTTCAAGGCGGCAAGCAGATCCGAGCCTTGCCGTGCTTCAGGCGCAGTGACACGGGCAGGCGCATGTCGTCTTCTCGGCCGGGTGGGTCGACCTCCTCACCAAAGACCTGAGACACGTCGAGTTGCAGCCTAGCCGCCTAGCCGAACCCAGCAGAATCCATCTCTCCAGGCGGCCACATGCCAGAGGAACTCGAAACCGTAGCACTGCGTACTCCGCTTGGTGCCCTCCACGCCGCATAGATCCACATCACGCGAGCCATCAACCAAGCTCAACATACGGGAAAAGAAGTCCTGCGACAGGGCAGGCTTCACAGACTTCGAAATCACAGGCTCTCAGTGCAGGGCTCCAGGCTGCGCTGCTGGACGGTCTCCCGGGACACCGCAAACTGGGCACAGCAGTAGGGCCCTGCAGGCGCCAGAAGGCGAAGCAGGGCACACCACACTCACCACACCTACGACAGAAAGACATGGCCTACAAGGGCTGTGAGGTTCTCACCGAAGATCTCTTCGTGAACCGCTTGCAGGCATGGTGTGAGCGTCCGCACGTGGCGAGGACCATTCAAGGGAAGAAAGCCAACATCATAGGTGCCGGCCGCGATGCTCCTCAGCACCAAGTCCATGAAGTCCATGTGCAAGTGATCCATCGGATCACTCTGGAGGAAGATCATAAAGTCCGCAAGCTGCTGGTAGTTTGCAAGGATATGGGTCAAGTACGCCGAGCACTCGTCGCCACGGGCTGCTCCTGCGTGGCGGCTGGTCTGCAAGCGGAAACTGGAGCGACTGTGATTTGTTCTCTCGGGGAAGGGGCAGAACAGGGAGGTCAACACAACTTCACTTCGGCTCTCTCATTCGCAGCTCGATCGTTTTCTTTCCTGCATTTGGGAGAAGGGTTAAGGCATGGAACGATCCAAGCGAGTTTAGGCCGAACACTGGAGGTAGGAACCGTCTCAAAGAACTTTCTCGAACTGCAGCCGAGGCTTGCTGCTAAGAAGGGTTGACTTTCAGACTGCAAACATCTGACTTCAATCACATGGGAAGGGAATGGGATGGGGTCGCAGCAAAAGCCAAAGCAAAGTCGATTTTGGGCCAGCGAGCCTATGTCTGGCCGCGCGATCACACGCACTGCTTGAAATGGCCCAGCTGCAAAGGAAGCCGGGTCCGTCCAAGCCCCGCACTTCTCGTAAAGGAAGAGCCTGCAACTGGGAATGTTTCTTCCACGAAAGCAAGCAATGCAAGTTCCGGCCTGGAGCCTGGAGGCATCTTTGTGATCTTGGTGTGTAGCCAATCCAGCGGCTCCCTGCAGTGCGCGACCACAAGGTCCAGCCTGTTGGAATTGAGAAGCCAAGATTCAGAATGCGAGCACCCCAGCATCGACGAGTCTTCCCAAAACCGCAACTGAATCACTGCCCTCGGGGCAGCGGCCATTCTAGAGACCGTTCTTGCTACTGGAACGTACATTGTTACATCCCTCCATCCCTCCTGTCCCCTGCGGAATCTGCAGCCAAAGATCCTTGCAGAACTTGCACCGGGACCGTCCCAACATGCCGTGTTGAAGCTCCCGGCCGACGGCAGAGAAGTTCCTCGGGTCAGCCGAGGTCAGCGGTTCACATCGGGCAGGCAAGACCGACTTTCGCCATTCACCCCTTTGCGCCTGTGACCCCTGGAAGCGCGGTGGCACAGGCTGGGCGCGCGTGGCCGGCGTGGCCGCCGAGCGTTGCTTGCGCAAGCACTGCTGGCACCGCATCGCTGAGCCTGTCTTGGGCTGCCTGACGCGAGCTGCGCCGCAGATTGGGGAGTCCAAGAGTGCGAGAGAGCGACAGCAGCGAGCGAGAGCGAGAGCGTCGCTTTGCCTGCACCCGCTTCAGAGCTTTGCGCAGCGGCCAAGCAGCTGGTGCCGATGCCATGAGGTGCTGCTGGAATGGTGAGGCCTGCGAAGCTCAGTGGTCCAACACCAGAAGTGACCAAAAATTCCCGCTTTTCAGTCTCCACCCGCCTCCTTTGCGAGCCGAAGGCCCACATCGTGCAGGGAGCGTCCTGCGACTGCAGATGCCAGCTGCAGTTGCCTGCAACATCCTGCAACCTCAAGCTCATGAAAGGACCCGCCTTCTTCGGAGATGGCCTGTGCAAAGTCGTACATCACATCATCGCCAGGGTTTCTGAGAAGTGCGAAGGCCCGGTCCAAGTCATACCATGGCGGCGCTTGCAGCTGGACCTCGCTCACGAGCCTCGATGGGGGGGGGGGGGGCAAGATAAGACTT